TCTTTTATTGCTTTACCTTTCTTTACGTAAGAAGCTTTAGGTCCGTCTAAGTCTCCTTGTGTTCGACCCTTAACAAGAAAGTGTACATTAAAATATTAAATTAAATAATTCAAAGCATCATCATGACAGTGAAAATAGCGATTTTAGCAAGATCATGCGTTACCTTCTTTCTAAAAGCTTACATTAAATTAATTATTAGCAGCATATATTGTATTACGTTACATATGAAGAATAAAAAAAAACAAACTAACGTACTTCAACAATAAGACCATGTACATCATACATCCAAATTTTACTTCTTGCTTCTTCAACTGAAACACCTTCACGTACCATTGCATGTGTTACTAAATCAGCAATACCACATGCAGCCTAAATTTATTCATATCTATCATATAGGAAAAGATTAATTATGTACAAATATACTTGACCAGCTCCAACAAAAAGATATGTATTGTCAATTAATCTCGTATTTGTGATGCGAAGTGCACCAAAAAGACCAGCAAGAACAACTGCAGCTGTTCCTAAAATTAAAAGGAATATTTTCTTTTTGTACAATTTCAGAAATGTTCTAAAAATGAAAGAAAAAACAAACCTTGAATATCATCATTGAATGTGCAATACGTTTTTTGATAACGTTCAAGTAATCGATATGCATTATGACTAGCAAAATCTTCAAATTGGATAAGACATTCCCATCCAAAACTAGAAACGAATATTTATTATACTTTAATACTAATAATAATAATTGATTCTCTTTTTCAATAAACTTACCGTTGTACAACAGCGTCCATAAATTCATCAATAAATTCATCATATTCTTTACCTGTAACTCGACTTTGTCTTAAACCAATATAAAGAGGATTTGATGAGATTTCCTTAGAGAAAAAAATGTAAGAAATAAATTTTAGATAATAATACAATTTTTTCTCAATCCTTACTTCATTATTTGTTCCAACATCAAGCATAATTGGTAAACAATGCTGAGGTGGAATACCGGCAATAGCTAAAATTAAAACCATTCAATTATCATAAATTGCTTATTTAAAATTTCGTATTACAGATATATTGAAGATTTCGATAAATCTTCATTGATTATTTAGATGTTTGTAAAAACGAAAAAAAAAAGCTTTAAGTATGGAGTAAAAGGAATTCAGGGTAGTGAAAAATAATCGACAAAGAACCAATAGGATTTGGAACAATGGCAACATATTTGATCACAAAACAACCGAAAAAGGTTACACAGAGAAACTTTTATCCCTTATATATTGTATTTAGATACATATATACATATACATAACATTATTTAGAATGAGTACAAACGTTGATTAAATGTAATAAACAAACCAACGCATTACTATTTCATTGTGTTTTTTTTCTGATTAATATATTTTTTTTAAACTTAGGGATGAATATGAAAATAAGAGATATAACAACCAAAATATTTTCACATTCAATCTTTATCATTACTAATTAATTACATACAATAGAATAGTGAGTATTAATATATGACATGAAAATATGTATTTAGAAAAATAATTAATTTTAAAGTATTACTTTGTTGAGTATAGATTATTCTTCAATAAATATAAAAAGAATTGTTCACTTTTTATAATATATATTTAAAAAAAGAAGAACTTTTCAAATAAACAATATTTTACCGGTATATAATTGTAATTTTCCAACTGGTATACCCATACCAAATGTACCTAAATCGCCTAAGCCTAAAATACGTTCACCATCTGTTACTACAATTGCTTTAACTTGTGATTCAGTCCAATTACAAAGTATATCATATATATGACCTTTATCATGTATAGTTATAAATAAACCTCTTGGTCGTTTAAATACTAAACCATATTTTTGACAAGCAAGACCAACTAGAAAATAATGAATTTTTTTTTTGTTTTGAATTTTTTTTTTCTATGTTATATACCTGTTGGTGTATAAACAATTGGTATTAGTTCTTCAATATTATCTTTTAAATAATTATATATATATATATATAGATTGAAAATTTCAAAATTAGTCAAATTTACCTGCAATGACTCTATAAAATAATTTCTCATTTCGATCCGATAAATTCATTAATTCTGAATATCGATCTAGATCATCTAACAGACAAAGATTAAGGTGTAAAAATAAGAAATAGTTCCTCTATTAAAAATTAATTTACTATTCAATCGGTGAAAATTGATCATAACACGAAGTGCTTGAACCTCTTGTGAAAGAACAGCTGGTGGTAACAGGCCATGAATACCCATATGTTGTCTTTCTTCAAGTGTAAAGCCCATACCCTAATTTAAGAAAATTCCGACAAAGATATCTCGTAACTATTACTGATGAATATCGTACATCAACAAAATCCCATACCCTAATTTAAGAAAATTCCGACAAAAAGAAAACAATAATTTTAATCTTTTTTTATTTCTTCTATTAACTTTATTCAATGCTGGATTTCGAAGTAATTCAACACCTTTAAGTGATGAACGTGATTTTGTTGATGGACGATATTCATCAGTAATAGTTACGAGATATCGTTGTTGTAATTGAAAGTAACGTATATATTGACGATATGACAAAACAGAACGAATACCTCGTAATGAACTAAATGACATTTTTTTGTTATTACTAAAACTATCTAAAAATTAAACAACAATTAATTTATTAGAAATTTGTTGATTGTTATATAATCTTTGAAAGTCAATGTATCTTATGAAATATAAATATTTGAATATGATTTATTGCATATTTTCTTAATTATTTTGAATATCAGTAAACATATAGTTGAGTTAGATCATTATGAGTTTTTTTTTTTTTTGTAAAAAAGAAATCGTGTAATTTATAAATACAGTTAAATACAAGAATAATTAATTGAAACATGTCTCCGTTGTTTTCACTGATCTACGTTTTTATATACTTATGATAAATATTCGTCATTTCTATTGTTCAAATTAATACTTTTTTTTTACAGCGTAGTATCTTAATATTCTTTTCAGAGTAATATATTAAAAAAGGATTAGAATGAAGGAAGTTTAATTA